TCAAGTGGAAGGCCGGCAAGGACCTGACCGAGGGCCTCCTCTCCGCCGCCAAGAAGGTCTGGGACCAGGGCCCCATCACCCCCGGCAAGCTCACCCCCGAGGCCGAGGCCCTCCGCAAGAAGGTCGAGGAGACCGCCATGGGCGGCGTCTCCTTCTTCTCCTTCTTCGGCTACGTCGGCAAGCGCATCTCCGCCGAGGAGAGCGCCGCCGCCCTCGCCAAGGAGGTCAAGGAGTTCGAGGACCGCAAGGCCGGCAAGAAGACTGCCGAGGAGGAGGAGGAGGGCGACGAGGACGAGACCGAGTTCGAGCTCGAGATCTTCCCCGACGGCGACGACGTCGCCGTCGCCATCGCCACCGACCTGTGGCCCGAGGCGCTCCACTACTTTAGTAAGTTCCTCCGCGACGGTGCCGTCGCTGCCGAAGAAGGACGAGACGGAGACTTACTCTCAATGATAGCCCAAGCTCAGGAGGCCGGCGAGCTGTCCGATGCCGACTTTGAGTCCGACGACGAGGAGGACGAGGATGAGGAGATGGGCGACGCCGAGACCACCCCCAACAAGAAGCGCAAGGCTTAGACTGATGACTTACCACCGACGACGACAACACCCCACACCCCATAACACACATACGCATGATGATGAACTTTCTTAATATTAGACAAAACCTGGTGATACCATGATCGAGTCCCCCTCCTAGAGGAAGAGGGAGGGACTCTCAATTCAAAAAGTTTTCGTTTGTTATACCATTACTCGTCCCTGTTGTTACATTATGTGACCCTACTGTTCATGTCTGCGACTGAGAGATCTTGAATTCATGCGCGACCTCAACTCGTCATTTGCTGACGTTCCTCGTTTCTACATCGATTAGGACGGCCTCGCCACCGTCTGGCCGAGTTCATACCTGCCATGCGTGGAGCTAAGCTCCGCAGCACCATGTTCTGCGGGTAACTCGACGGGGTTGAAGTGGTCGGTATAACCTTCGTGTAGCGCATTGATCCCGGCCGGTCCATTGTATCCATATTGCGCGCTGCCAGGCTTCTCGTACTCTGGAGGCGTTCCGCCTGTCTCCTGCTGCGGCGCCGCCTGGTATCGTTTCCTCCTCAGGAAGAACACTACGAGGCAGATTACAAGAACGAGGCCTACAACACCGCCCACAACGGCACCTACGATGGTACCGATAGGCGGATTGGATGGCTGAGAACCTTGCGGAGTCGAAGTTGCGCTGCCCGCATTGGACTGTTCAGTAGGTGAAGGATCCGAGGTCGAGTTGGTGGGCGCCGCTGCTGCTTGGTCAATACCTTGAGATATAGACTCATATTCTAAAATGAAGTCACGCTCACTTACGCTCAGAAAACAAGGCCTTGACCTCTTCGCTCGCCCAAACGACGGAGTCTAGTCCCCCTTGGGCATACCACTGCTTGACCGCGTCGGGCGACTCGTACGGTCGCGCCTGGTAATCATACCCATCAGACCAGCGCATCTCCGTCATGTCAAAGATGCCCAGCCCGAGCTTCCAGGGGTCTGGGTCTGTCAACGACCTAGGGAAGCCGAGGGACCCGTCTGTTCCTCCAATAGAAAGCATCTGGCGGCCTCCCTCGCCCACGACGACGCACGTATGGCCCGCCCGAATGGCTGACGAGCCTGCTGCTTTGAAGAAGACAAATCCGGGCAAGCTCAGGACGTAGACATCGCCAGAGACGCTGCCTGTCTCGGTGCTACCGCCGCCGTAGAGAAAGCTGAGTAACGCACTAGCATTAGTCCCAGCCACTTATCATGGTCAAGCGGTACGATGGAAGTTGTTTCTCTTACATCTCGTACGTGTCATTGGCGCTGGAAGCGCCCACGGCACAAAAGTTTCCTCGTGTCGCCGGTCTGGAACCTGTTGTCTGCTGAGTATACCACTTGTCGGCTGAGTAAGTGTCAGTGCCTTGTTGAAACACGCGTCGCCAAGAGAGTCTACTGACTGCTGGGATTATACAAGGCGACCTTGTTGAAGTCCATCTCCTCCCAGCTCCCTTTCGGTAACGAGACTGGTGCCTGGCCTCCGCCTAAGAAGAGCAGCATTCCGCCGGATCCAAACGGCACGAACTGTGATGAGCCTCTTACTGAGGTCCCATATTGACCGAACCCTGTAGAGGACGTATTTTTTATCTCTCCCGAAGTCATGTTGTACGATATTAGTCCAGGAAGGGCGAGAGCATTGTTATAAGTAGAGGTATCCGTTCTGGAGTTTGCAACCCCGCCAAAGTAGTATCCCACATCCTTACTCTGTGTGAAAGAGGCTTCTGTGGTGCGGGTGAGCTTGCTGAAAGCGACGACGCTCGCGGGGGTGACCTGCGACCAGGTTCCACCACCGTTACCGTCCACCTTGAAATGCCATAACTCTTTTGCCGGGGGCGTGTCGGAGTAGGACATCATGCCGCCCCAAACGTAGAATCCGGTCGAGGATGGGTCTCGCCATATGGCCTGCCAATTGAGCTTCGGTCCGTTCTTGGGAGTGGATGTCATCGTGACGCTAGAGTTGGTCCATGATTGTTCGAGACAGATGGAGAGTGTCGAGTTCACTGGAGAAAGCGACAGACGTCAATGATGTGTCCTAATTTCAATTTGAATTGGACGTAAACCCTACCTGGCCACGACGGGTGGTTGGCAGTGGTCCCGTTTTTGCCGTTGTATAACTGGGATACCTCGCCGCCGTCTATATACACATAGCCACCTATGACGATTGCTACTCAAGTTAAAATGCGACACTCGGTCGTGAGGTGTCTGATGAAGTCTTCGACATACCTGAAGGGAAAGCTCTCCTCAGGAAATCAGAAGGAGACGGAGCGTCATCGCGGATTATCAGCCTTGATTTTCCAAAGGGATTCCAACACTGCGCTGAAACCACCAACCAAGAGAACAGTAACAACGCTGTACGGCACATTGATGAATAGAGTATGAAAACACTCGGTCTGACCTCTTTGACGAAGAAAGAGAAAGAAGGGATGCGTTGTCTTCGGAAGTCTGAAGTATGGCGTTAGGGAAAGGGCTGTATGAGGGAAACAGCAAATGCCTTCCGACTTCGAGAATTGGTCCCATCGCCTTGGAGCAAACTTACCTCAGCCGAAGTCCGTAGGCTGCCTTCTCTTGGTCTGTCACGCCACCAGTGCTCATCTCTTGTGTGACCAGACTGGAGAATCTGGTGGACGAAAGGGAACAAATGTCGAGCCCTGTCTTAGCTTGAGGCGGACATTTTCCGCCCGATGATTGACTACTGGCTACGCCCACCTGCTGTGAAGCTTGGGCATGGCTGTCAGCCTTGGATGTACCCATCACCATCGAGTCTGTGGCAGGGAGGCTGAGGCGAGACAAATTTAGATGAGATGGCTGTCGTTGAACAGCCATTTGAGAGCCCACCGCTCTCTGGGGAAAGCACAAGGCTTGGCTGTGGAATGATCGCTGCTGTGAGCATGTTTTGGCAAGACTTCTGGTGGAGGCTTTGATGATTTCTCTTAATCATGAAACACAGCAGTACAGGTGATCAAGGTGACTTGGATCTAGGACAAGTCATGTAATGACCGACCGCACGTGGGGTTACTTAAGCTCAAGTTTGCCAGTTGGAATAGCCCATCGACCCCTTGCTCCTTCTTGGAACTCTGTGGAGCTTTGTCACGCTTCACTAAGACCACCTGCTTCTTACGCCGAGCTTCCTTGACATTGATACCACTATTGCCTACCTGCAAGGTGCCAAGACAAGGCAGGCGCTGTGGTGCTTGATGTAGGCAGCCTGCCCATCTCCAGGCGTAAGCAAGTCTGAGACTAGGCTATGAGGCTGATCTTGGCAAGAGCCGGCCTGAATGTTCTCATTCATTGGGCAAGATAACCAGAGCTCGAGTGCTTGTAATTGGGTCTTGTACACGCATTCCTGTTGATATCAAATTAGGTTGTTCTTATCTTGTAGTATCTGACTGTGATATTCTGGCTCACAGATGGTGAACGAAGGGCAGGCGCACAGCAAGCACCTCGTGCAGCTAGCCGTTATGGTACATATTGTTATGCCTAAATCTTCGCGCGTGACCGAGAATCTCGAATTACTTTACGATATAGTCGCCCTTCGCGTTCAAGCCTCAAGACCGAAGGTGCATCCACCCTCCCTCAGGCATACGAAGGTCCACAACTTCAGTCGATTTACCTTACTAAAACAACACTAGTGAGAGCACCATGGGCATTTGGGTTTCTCATCCCGCAACTCGAGCGTATTTGGGTTCCATCTTGTCGTTCCAGATCCGACAGAGATCCTGTCGGAGGTACACGTAAACTTGCAATTCATCGTAGAAAGAGCTCGGGTCTCGGTGGAAGACCTTCCCAGGCCGGCAGATCACGGAGACCGAAGACTGTAGAATAGTGGGGATTTCGGCGGACAGTTTCGGAGGTATGTGTCTACGACTCTCCGGTCCGTCCTTGTCTGTCGGGGATTGTTGGCCACTTGTCTGATGTATTCCCGACTACTAACACCACAGCTTACTAACACTACAGCCCACTATTAGGTGTTCGGTTCTCGATCGTCTGACGAATGTGGTAGGTAACATTGGCATCCAAACCCAATCCTCCTCCCAAAATTATGATGACGTCAAAAGTCTGGGGAAATGGCTTCGTAGAGTTTAGGCGATGCGCACCACAGACCCCTCCCGTGGTCGCCGCCCGGGAGCCACTCCGACTTAGCCGCATCTAGCCATCCTATGGGAACACCTCCGATTCTTTACCACTCGCGCTCGCCCTTTCGCGCGTACCTCATTTGTAAGCGGCCGTATGGTCCCGGGTTCTTGCAGAGGTTCGAGGCCCCCTGTCTTTGATACATATTAAGGTTCAGTCAAAGTCTTTAACGCTCCCACGATGTCATGACGAGGGTCATCTCTAAGTAAAATGAGATTACCATCCACGATTCCCAAGAGAATCTCAAAACACATCACGCCCAGCGCAAACCGTACTTTCTCACACAGCCAGATCAGAGCTATCAGCATGGCGACAGCATACAAGATCAATGTTCCGGTGACGAACACGGGACTGTGGAAGTTTGATCAGAAAGATGCTGCCGCGAGCAAGGTATCTGAGCTACTACAGGAGGATCTCGAGGTACGGACAAATTGTACCTTACATAGGAGTAGGCGGTATGCTAATATTGTACAGAAACATCATGTCTTCTTCAACCAAGAAGGCTTCCACAACCACGTGAGCTCAAGTACTCGGATCATCTCATAGCCAGCCTCTAACATCGTTCAAGATCCCTCATCAGGTCCTAGCCCTCTTCGGTACCGGCGCAGGCCCCGACGCCATTCAAGCGGCGTACAAGGAAAACGCAGACTACCAGCGCCCAGCGCAGACCCCACGTGATTCCGTCGCAGATGAGCTGCACGACTGGGACCGCGCGAAAGCGTACCTCGGCAAGGAAAAGCACTACCCAGACTTCCTCCTCTTCTTCCAGCGCGAGATCGAGAGGCTCGGGGGCTGGGAGGCGGCGTTGAAAGAGCACCTCTTCAAGGGCGACGAGCGCGCCGACGACATGTTCCAGCGTATGTTTGCGGGCTTTTTGCACCCCATTATCCAGCTCATGTATGGTGTCGAGTGGGAGCAGCCCGCCATCGTCGCCGAGGGGCTGGCACAGGCCGCCGTGCATAAGAACCAGCTCAAGGACTTTTTCGACGAGACGGAGAAGCGTGCGGCGGCAGCTAGCGGGTCGATGCCGCTGATGTCGGATCTTGTTGAGGAGATCCGCCGAGACCAGAAGCTTGCTCACGCCGCTGAGATGAAGGATGCGAATAAGATCTTTGACGGGATCCTGAAGCGCGCGCCGGAGGAGATGCTGCGGATCGCGAGCAAAGTCAAGGTTCGCCCCGAGGAGCTGGATGAGAGGACGGCCGAGATGTTCCATAATGCCTTTTACGTTGCTGGCGGCGCGGCTCTTCGGCCGGGTAAGGAGCCAAAGTGGGATTTCTTCTTGATGTAAGTGTGATCCTTTTTTCCCCTCTTAGGAGAGGCTGGCGACGAGAGTGTCAGACGCTGATGCTGTAAACAGTCACCACACGAACGCTGCGCCCATCTTCCTCAGCTTCAACTCCATGTCGTGGATCTCGACGGAGAACAAGGTGCGCATGCTGGAGTACAAGATCCGGATGGACCTCGTGCAGTATGCGGCGCGCGGGTGCCCACCGCTCCGCCTAGAGGATGTCAAGTCGTACAAGCCAAAGGACAAAGATGAGGGCAAGGACTTGGTCTCCAAGCCGACTGGTAAGTTTTTCATCTTTCGTCTCACTTAGAACAGTGGCTGATGGACTCTACAGACCTCCTTCCAAGATTTCACAACTTTGTAGATGACGGCCACACGATCAAGGTGGTCAGAGCACTTGGGATTTGCCAGGACCTTTCAGCAAAGTATGGCGACAAACCCTGGATCAAGATCAAGGATGGGGAGTGGCTCAACCTCACCTACATGTTGTTGGATAGCACTGAACATGACGAGACGAGATGGGTTCGCTCAGCGGGCTTTGAAGAGGCGTGGAAGGTGAGACAAAAAATCATCGTTTGGAATGTAAATTCATGATACTGACCCTGCTTCTAGGACGTCCCTGCTCGCGATTGACTAGCCGACGGTGGCAGGACGATATCAAGGTTGTAATTGAATCAGATGGGACGACATAAGTGTAACAGTAGCAAAATCATGGTAGCTTGACAAAACGGGGGGTATACATTTGTAGTAACATCTATGGTTTATTCTAGCCCAATCCACTCATCTCCGTCGGAATCGCTCTGGCCCTCATCCGCATCGCCAATCGCCAAAGTCTTGGCGGGGGCGTCGAACGCGGCCAAGTCTAGCATTTTTACACCGGTCGTCTCCTTTTCGTTGCTGGCCTGGCCCAACAGATAGTCCACCATGTACACATTATCGTCCGCGAGCCTCCTGATCTCGTCGCGCATCCTCGAGACGGCCCTGGCCACGATTCTCAGCTCGACGTCCACCTTGCCCCTGTGCTGCGTGAGCCAGGCGCCGTGCTTGTCCACCAGCGCCTTGACCCAGAGCAGGCAGAACTCAATATGCGGCGTCTCCTCCGTCTGGGCCGCGACGAAGCGCAGTAACCTCGGAACGTAGACGATGGGCATATCCTGGACGACCAGAGCAATGTCCGTGTGCGGTATTGAGAGGAAGACGCGCTTGATGAGGCCGGCCTCGTTGAGGCGGAAGGCCATGACCAGGGCTTTGAGGTAGTCCTTTTCGTTCTCCAGGACGGCGAGCGTGGATGCGGGGGTGATTTCCATGTTGAGGTCAAAGGGGTCGAACTGCATGAGGTTGTCGAGGCTGTAGATAAGCAGGCCCTCTGTTGTGGCAGCGCAGAAGGCCGTGCCGGTAGGTGTGAATGCAACGCCCGAGACGCGGACCTCTGGCATCCTCTTCCTCGCAGAAGGGTCGCCGCGCTTGGAGCCCGGCAGGGAGTCGTCTCTCCTGTCCTCGGGATCCGAGGCCTCGCCTTGATCATCGATCAGACCGCCGGGGCCGGCCTCGGTAAGGAGCTTGCTGTTGAGGAACTCTTGCGTTCCGGACAGAGACAGGTTGACACTGACTGTGTACTTCTTCAAAAGAACCATGGTATGAACAGAGTACAGGCAGATGTACTTGCTGTTGCCACCAGCAAGCAAGCAGCTTCCGTCTGTGCTGTACTGAATGGTGTTGAAGCTCTTTGTGCCCGCCACGTTGGCGGCCGTCCTCCGATCGGTGAGCTTGCGTCCACCGGAAACGTCACGACGGCCGTCCAGTCCAGACACCTGCTCAGCATCCATGATGGACCAGAAAGACAGCTGACCATCCAACGTTGAAATCGCCAGTTGCAAAGAGTCAGGGCGCACAGCGATATCGAGGATATCGGCCTGCAGCTGCAAAGGCTCGCTCGTTTGTGTCCTGTTGAAGATGGACCAAATTCTTGCGGTGCGGTCCCAGCTACCACTGACAAGGGAGTTGCCGTTTGGTGTGAAGGCTAGGGCCGACACGGGACCCTCGTGACCGGTGAGCTGGTCCAGAAGCTGTCCCGTCTGAACGGACCAGATATGAATATCGAAAGAGTCCAGAGATCCAGCCGCGACGACCTCGCCGCTAGGGTCAACGGCCATACATGACCATGACAGCCTTGTCGGCGCTGTGAATGTGCGGAAGTTTCTGTATCTGATGAGATCCCAAGCTCTTACGGAGCCGTCAAGACTGGATGTGAATAGTACGTTGCCCTTCTTTGAGAACTCGCAGGCCGTGACACCACTTGTGTGCTCCGTGAAGGTGACGATGCAAAAACCAGACTCGGTATCCCAAACCTTAATTTTGCCGTCATCGGCAATGGTGACGATGCGTTGTCCATCGGGGGAGTAGACCAAGTTGTTCATGGAGTCAAAGTGGCCCTGCTGCTTCAGGATGTACGACTCGGATTGCCATTCCCACACCAGGAGTTGCCCCAACTTTGATGCGCCAAAGGCTAACCACTCTCCGCTCTTGTTGATCGTCACAAAGTCGATCTCGTTTTGAGAAATGTTGAGAGTGTGGATCATGTTGAAGTCGGGCAGCTCGTACAGACCGAAAGTTCCGTTGGAGAAACCGGCGACAAGAAGATTGGACTCGGGGTGAAAGGTTGCGCATCGGACATGCGCACTGTTCTGCATGAAGTAGTGTCTGTCGACGATTCTCCAGCGCATGTCGTCCTCGTCCTCGTCCACCATCTCGTCTTCATCCTGAACCGGCTTTCCAACGTACTTCCAGTCGAACACAGCGCCGTCCTTGCTGACGGTGTAAATGGTTTCCTGGTCCTCCGAGAACCATGCCCCCACCACAGCCTGCTTGTGTCCCGAAAGTACCGTCGGCACGAACCCCTCCTCACGATCCAGACTCCATATTCTTGCGGTCAAGTCCTTGGAGGTACTGAGAAAGAATCGCGAGTCGCTGGACCACTCGATGCTGCGCACTTCGTCAAAGTGTTGTGTGTGGGTGTGGTGCTTCACAAACGGCGCGAACTCGAGTTCTCCTTCGGCATTCGCATCTGGTGTGGACGGCACATGCCAGACTTCGATCTTGCGGCCCAGACCAACAACGAAATGGCGTCCGGAAGGCGAGAAGGAGAGGGCGGTGACAGAAGAGCGGAACGAAAATCGGTAAATGGGGATTCGGCGGAGGACGTTGGTCAGAATAGCCTGGCCATCTTCGTCAATGGACAGTAGCAGGTTTCCTCGAGGAGTGAGACCGATTCGCGAGATATTTTTCCGGTGCGCGAAGGGAAGAGTATGTGACTTGTTGCTGATAGGAAATTAGCATGGAAATGTTTGAGTTGCGCCGACTTTTGAGGCAGAACATACTTCACCAGGTCGAAGACAGTAACCCTGTTCCCCACGGGCGAGAACAAATGGGTGCCATCTGGGCTGAAGAGCAGGTTGCCCTGGCAGTACACCGTGCCGAGCAAATTGGAAAACTAGAAATTGAAGCAATGGTCAGAATCGCATGCGAATTAGGGGAAAATCTTGCAAAGCGTACCTTAAAATCGGTCTTCATTGTCAATTAGCACCCATTTCCTCACCTTGAAGCTACCGAAATTCTCTCCAACCCAAAGATTTTCTTATCGATTGAAGGCGCGCTCTGCAACTTTTTGGCGGGGTCGGGGAATCATTCATCCTAATTTCCGCGGTCTAATCCCCTCCGGGCTAGACAAACTGTTGGTGAAAGTGCCAGGGGGAAAGAGGGGAATGATTGGCAGGAAAAGGGGGTCCTAATTAGTCCCCTGCGAAGGGCCCAATGAGTGTGCACCACCCAACCCCAGAAGGCCGAATGGGAAATTTGGAGGTGGCACCTTTTGATTCCCCTGAAGCACAAGCTCAAACCTCCCCAACTCAACCGTCAACACGCCCACACCGCAACCACATCACGAAAACAGTCGCGCGTTCAATTGCGATTCTTGTGGCCAAAGACCCTCTCACAGGCATCCGAAACGAATTCAGATTTGTTTAATCGTCAAATACCGCCCAAAATGGCCCCCGCCGCCGCCGAGAGCGCTTCACCGATTGGTATCGCCAACCTCCCTAACCAGCGACACAAGATTGTCGCCAAGCGAGGTGCCGCCTTCACTATTATGGTATGTCCATTCTCGTGTGACGGAACACATGATAATATGTCATGCCGGGGAATACTGACAAAATCATTAGGTTGCTGGCGAGTCTGGCCTCGGAAAGACCACCTTCATCAACACCCTGTTCTCCACGACCATCAAGAACTATGCCGACCACAAGCGCCGTCACCAGAAGCAGGTTGACAAGACTGTCGAGATCGAGATCACCAAGGCTGAGTTGGAGGAGAAGTTCTTCAAGGGTATGGCTCTTGCTTGCCAATTCCCGTGATGTGGATCATACGATTAACACGGATTACAGTCCGCTTGACCGTTATCGATACCCCCGGCTTCGGCGACTATGTCAACAACCGCGATTCCTGGATGCCCATCATCGAGTTCCTTGACGACCAGCACGAGTCCTACATGCTTCAGGAGCAGCAGCCTCGCCGCCAGGACAAGATCGACCTCCGTGTCCACACCTGCCTGTACTTCATCCGCCCTACTGGCCACACCCTGAAGCCCCTCGACATCGAGGTTATGAAGAGACTCTGCTCGAGAGTGAACCTGATTCCGGTCATCGCCAAGGCTGATACCCTTAGCCCTGCGGACTTGGCCAAGTTCAAGGCTCGCGTAAGTTTGGATTGACTTATTCGTCGGAAACAAACAGACTGACCGTTGGGTGCTTCAGATTCGCGCTGTCATCGAGGCCCAGAGCATCAAGATCTACCAGCCCCCTGTCGAGGAGGACGACGAGCCCGCTGCTCAGCACGCCCGCAGCTTGATGGCTGCGATGCCCTTCGCTGTCATTGGTTCCGAGAAGGACGTCAAGACCGGCGACGGACGCATCGTCAAGGGTCGCCAGTACTCTTGGGGTGTTGCCGAGGTCGAGAATGAGGACCACTGCGACTTCAAGAAGCTGCGGTCAATTCTCATCCGTACCCACATGCTCGACCTCATCCACACCACCGAGGAGCTTCACTACGAGGCCTACCGCGCCCAGCAAATGGAGACCCGCAAGTTTGGCGAGGCCCGCCCCAGGAAGCTCGACAACCCCAAGTTCAAGGAGGAGGAGGAGGCGCTCCGCAAGCGCTTCACCGAGCAGGTCAAGATCGAGGAGCAGCGTTTCCGCCAGTGGGAGCAGAAGCTCATTGCCGAGCGCGACCGCCTCAACAAGGATCTCGAACAGACCCACGCCCAGATCAAGCAGTTGGAGACCGAACTGGAGCAGATGCAGGGAAGTGCCGTCCGCAGCCACGGTCGCCGTTAAGGGCATTCGAACGTGAGGGTTTCCCCTCGATTTTTGAGCGGTTTGTTCCTGGGCGATTGGTGCTTGCTGGATTCTCGACACTTTTACCTTTTTATTTCTTCTATTCGGGGATCGAGAGCACCAACTCGCTACAATATCGTCTTTTTGACGCGTCATCATGGATATGCTAGCTTCTAGCTTACCCAAATGGGCTCGACTCATTTGGCTGAATTCGCCTGTATGAGCCTCAAGTCTTCACTACCAGTT